AAGGAGGTGGCTGGAATGATTTGGGAATGGTTTGGGAACAAGGATTGGGATGGGAATTCCTCATAGAATCAAATGGAATGATTTGGGAATGGTTTGGGAATAGGGATTGGGATGGTAATTCCTCATAGAATCAGATGGAATGGTGTTGGAATTTAGAGAACTGTGGATTTTTTCCGGATCCCATTCCACGGAGCTGGAGATCTCCAGGAGAAAACTCCCTGGAAATCCCAATCCCGACTTTCCCCCCGCGTTTTCCCAGCCTCTCCCTTCTGATCCCATTCCCTTGGGATCCCTCAGGGGCACAGACCGGCACAATCCCCTCCCCCCTCTGGCTCCTGGTTCCGGGCGTTATTCCAGAGGCAGATCCAGGTGGGGCACACCTGGAAGAGCCCCGGGAGCTCTGGGAAATCCGGGAAAACCCAGCAGGGCCCGGAGAGAGGCCGAGCCTCAGGAAAAGGAGATTGAATCCTGCTCCGGGAATGTGATGTGGGAAAAACCAGCGGGGCCGGCAGGAGGGACGGGAATTCTGTGGGATTCGGGAATCTCGGGGACGAGGCCGCTGCAGCCTCGTGATTTTATGGGATTTATCCCATGGAAATCCCCGGCTCATCCCAGAGATGTCGGGCTTGGATCAGGGAATGGCTCCAGGGCGAGTTAAACCCAGCCTAGGGCGGGGCCGCTCCGGCCTTGGAGCCCCGGCCCAGAGTTGGATCCTGGGGTTTGGGAGCGGGAAAAGCAAACCTGGGACAGTGCTGGGGACACCTGGGACACACCCGGGACACACCTGGGGATACCTGGGGACACCTGGGACACTCCTGAGGGCCATCCTGGGACACACCTGGGGATACCTGGGGACACCTGGGACACACCCGGGACACACCTGGGGATACCTGGGGACACCTGGGACACACCTGGGGGCCATCCTGGGACACTGCTGGGGACAATCCTGGGATATTGCTGAGGACACACCTGGGGACATTCCTGGGAATACACCTGGGACTCTCCCGGGGACACCTGGGACACTCCTGGGGACAATCCTGGGACATTGCTAGGACACTCCTGGGGACACCGGGGACATTCTGGAGACAGTGCTGGGGACAGTCATGGGGACACCTGGGGACACATCTGGTGACAATCCTGGGGACACTACTGGGGACACCTGGGCCATTCCTGGGGACAGTCCTGGGACACTGCTAGGGATAATCCTGGAGATTCCTGAAGACACCTGGGACACTGCTGGGGACACACCTGAGGACCCTGCTGGGGACACACCTGAGGACACCGTGGATTCACCAGTTCTGAAAAGGAGAATCCATGATTTAGAATGAAATAAATTTAATTAATTCATTCATTAATTCTTTTTTTCCCAGCCCCTTTTCCACCGATTTTCCCGCGGCTCCCGGGGTTCCTTCCCCCCTTCCTGCCTTTCCTGGGAATCCGAACCCTCCCCGCGCTTTTCCCGGTTTTTCCCCGCTGGTGATTTTGGAAAAATGCGGAAGTCCCGCAGAAATATTTTCCTGCAAATCCCCGTTTTTTCAAGGTGGATTTCTGTCCCTTTCAAGGGAGATTTCTGGGATAATCGCTTGGGAAAATAACGCTCATTACCGCGGGATCTCCCATGGAAAACCTTCCCACATCCATAATCTTCTTGGAATTGCAGGAGGAACCAACTTTTCATTAATAATTCATCCCCGGGCTTCTTGGGGTTGGTTTGGGGTTTTTGAGGCTTTTTTCTCCCATCCTTGTGTTGAAAATCGGGATCAGATCCTTCAGGTTTTGCTCTGAGTGATTTTCCAAGGAAATTTCTCTTTCCTGGATGCGCCCCGCTCCAGAAATGGGATGACATCCCTAAAAAATTAAAAATAAAAAAAAAATAAGAAAAAGGTTTTTTGAGGAGAATCCTGCGCATAAAAATAATTCTTAAAAAGGACTTTTTAAGGAGAATCGCAATTAATTAAATCGCTGATTGGGGCGGTTTTCCAGATGAGTTTAATCAACCTGAGAGCATCTTTTCCATGGAGAAAATGGGATGTGGAGCCCTTTTATCCCCAAAAAATCCGCATTTCCAAGTTGGAAACCCTCCCGCGGGGGATAACGGGATGCTCCTAAAAAAATCCCAAATAATTCCAACCCGATCCCAGAGCGCGTTCCCGAGGGAATCGCGGCATTTATCGAGCAGGAACAAACCTTAGGAAACCATGGAGATGCGGCGGGGAAGTGAGGAGCGGAATTCCCGCCGGGAAAGCTCCGGGAAGCGGGCGGGAATTCCGCGCTGCGCCCCCGCTGGGGCCGGATTTCATCCTTTTGTCCGCGAGGCACAGCCGGGAAAAGATGGGAAAACTGGAAAAAAAAAAAAAAAAACATGAAAAAATTCCAATTTAACCACAAAAAGGGGTTGGAGTGAGCGGCCCCTCCTGGAGCTGGGATTTTGGGGTGAGGGGTGGGGACATCGCTGTCCCCTCCCTCGGTGGGGACAGTCCCTGTCACCCCCTGACCCCCCACGGGGCAAACCCCGGGGTGCGACCCCCACCCTGCCAAAAAAAAATAATAATAAATACAATCGTAAATATACTAATAAGTGTAACAATAAATACAGTAATAAGTATAATAATAAAGACAACAATAAATATAATTTAATAGTAATAACAATAACAAAAACAATAACAATAATAATAATAACAACAATAATAATAAATCATATTAAGCTCTTTACGTGGCCACTGCCCGGAGCTGCAGGAGAAAGCGATTTTTTTTTTTTTTGGCCTGAAAGTGCCGAATCTTCGCCCAATTCCAGGAGAACGGGGCGGGGGAAGGAGGGAAAACAAACGCGGCGTTTGAAGTGAGGGATTTTCCTGCCGGCGGGGAAGGAGAGCTCGGGCTCGGCTCCCGGGGTTTCACCTTCCCCCAGCCCCGGCAGAGCAGAAATATTTAATTTTCAACTTTATTCCCAGGCTCCTTCCCCCCCATCCCGGCTGATAATTGAATTAGGACGGCAGGAATGCGAAGGGGCTGCGGGCCGGTCCCGGGCTTTTCCCCCCAAAAAAACTCCAGGAATTGGCGTTTTTTGGGAAGGGTTTTTGGGAAAGGGATTTATTTGCGTTCTCCAAAGTCGCGCCTGAGCCGGGCTCAGAGTTCGGGCTCAACTTGACACCTCGGGAAGAATTTGACAGAATTTCAAATCGCTTTTTTCGCTCTGCACTGCCCCGGTTTGTTTTTTATTGTGATGGGGAATTGAGGATGGGAAGGGAGGAAAACCCCAAGCGCGCAGTTTAGGCGCGGCTTTAGGCCGAGCTGAGGAAGAGGCTGAAATTTGGGCTCCAGGCCGGGCTTTAAGCCCAAAGCAAAGCCTGGGCTGGGGGTGGGGGGGGGGTCAGGACGCCCTCCGGGGGGGTTTTGGGGAGGGGGCGGCGGGGCCGAGTCCCTTTTACAGCTGCGAACAAAAGGCAGCGCCGGCGCCGGCGTCACGTCCCGCTGCGCGCTCATTCCCGCAGCTCCCAAAGCTTTTGGGGGAAAATCGGGAATTCTCCGCCCGGCCCGGCCCTGCCCCAACCCCGCGGGGCCGGCCCCGAGCCCGCCCCGTAATTAAACGCGGTTGTTAATTAATGAGGAAGGAGCGGGGGCGCTGGGCCGGTCCCAAATTCGGCCCCACGGGTGGGGGGGGGGAGGTTGGGGGGGGGGGGGGGGGGGGGGAAAAGCGGCTCCAAACCCCGTGGAGGAAGTGGGATAAGGGATGCAGAGAGCTGGGCACCTTCAGGGGGCATTTAATTAATTTATTCATTCATTTATTTATCGCATTTATTTCTTATTATTCCATTGATTTCTCACTTAATTGGATTTTTAAAAATTTCTCACAATACAATTTATTTTATTTTAATTTTAACCTATTCTAATTATTATTTACATTCATTTTTATTCATTTCAATCGCTAGTCATTGCATTTCAAGTCTTTATTAATTTTTTCAATCTAATTTTATGTCAGATTTCCTTTTTTTTTTTAATTTTCATTTTTAAAATTTTATTTTATTTTTCAATCCACGCCGCAATTCCCCCACCCCGAGCCACGCTCAGCCCATGCCCCGCCCGCTTTTCCCCTCCTGAAATCCACTTGGCGGGGGGAGGCAAAAATGCCAAAAAAACCCAAAATAAAACCCACCAAAAAAACCACCCAAACAACCACAACCACGCAATTCCTAAATTTTCCCTTCTCTGCTTCACCCCGCTATCTTTTCCAGCCGCTCGAGTTCTCCATGAGGAGCCTGAGGATGACTGAAAACATCCCAAAAAATCTTCTGCGAGGAGCGCGGGGCTGCGCTCCCATTGGTGCCGGGGCCGGGCGCGGATCCCCCTTCCCATAAAAGAAAGGAGCCGGAGCCTATCAGAGCCCGCCCGTCCTTCCCACCGCCCCAACTTCCCCACCGGAGCAACTTCCAGCCCCCTCCTCCTCCTCCTCCTCCTCCTCCTCCTCCTCCTCCTCCAGCGCTGCCACAACCGCGCCGCGAGGAGGAAGAACCGCAGCGCACGGAGCGAATCCGGGGGGCCGCGGCTCCCCCCGCTCTGCCCCCCGCCAGCCCTAAACCAGCCCCGAGCCAGCCCTAAACCAGCCCCGAGCCAGCCCTAAGCCCAGCCCAGCTCCCAGGCAACTTTGGCTGTGCCTGCTCCTCCCGGGTGACATTCCAGCGGAGCGGCCGCTCGGGACACAGCCCCCAAACTTTCCCGGGAATTTCTGGTGGGTGATCCCCCCCTCTATCCCCACCACTCCCATTCCGAGCGTTGCAGCGTTTTGATTTTTTTTCCCCCTTATTTTTTTATTATTATCGTTGCCGTTATCATTTTTTTTTTCTGGGTCTTTATATTTTGGGGTTTTTTTTCGCGCTCAGAGCCCAGATTTCTCCCTTCTTTTGCAGCCGCTGGAAGGGCTGGGAAGGTCGGAAGAGGCGGCCCCGCTGCCCCCCCGGTTGTGCCCGGTGTCCCCCCAGCCCCGGTGTCCCCCGGAGCCCCCCGACCATGGCAGCGCTGCCCGGGACGGTGCCGCGGATGATGCGCCCGGCGCCGGGGCAGAACTACCCCCGCACCGGCTTCCCGCTGGAAGGTAGGTCCGGAAAACCTGGAAAAGCGCTGGAATTACCGGGGTGGGAGGGGGGTTTAGGTTTGGAAAAACGCCGCTCCATCCCTCTGGAATTATTGGGGGGGGGTCCTTGAGTCTGGAGAAGCGCCGCTCCATCCTTCTGGAATTACCGGGGGGGGTTAGGTTTGGAAAAGCTCTGCTCCATCCCTCTGGAATTATTGGGGGGGGTTAGGTTTGGAAAAGGGTCGCTCCATCCCTCTGGAATCGCCCGGGAGGGGCCCTCGGGGCGGGGGGTGCTGCTGAACTCCGCTCCTGGGGGGTTCCCGAAATTCTCCCAACTTCTCACCCCTGCCCAGCCCCTTCCCGCCGCCAATTCCCGGGATTTGCGTTGCTGTTTTCCCGTCTTTCGAGTATTCCCCGGCATCTCCCAGGATTTTTGGGGCAGCTTCTCCCGCTTGGGGGTTTTTGTTTTTTTTTTCTTTTTTTGCGGACGGGTTGGTTTTAAAACATCCCGACAATTTCACCTCCGCATCAAAGCAGGGGGAAACAACCAAACTGATGGGATTTAACTTTTCGGAGGGGAAAAATAGGAATAAAAACCTTTATCCTGGGGGGCTCCTGGAGCAGCGGGAAGCCGGGAAGTCCTTGGCCGGCACTGGCGAAGCGGGGACTCGGGAGCTGTCACCTCTCCGAGTGTCACCCATCCTCCCTCCGCCGTGCCTTTGTCACGCGGGGGGCGATTATTTCCAGGCACACACATTCCCAAAAAAAAAAAAAAAAAAAAAAAA